CTGAAAAACACAATCAGAAGGAGAGAAAAAATGAAATAATCAGAATCTTTAGACAATTTGCTAACAGAAAGAAGGTAAGTTTTGGAACATGTAAGAAGTAAGAAAGATTTCAAAGAGATTTTTTCTGAAATTTTAATATTTCCTTTTTCTGCAATAGGTGAAAAACTGTCATCAGCAATTTTGATTTTTTTCGGAACCGGAATATGGATAATATGAATCAAATAATTGATAACAGCTTGTCATATGATCAGAGGCTCCTGAATCATTGATCCAAGGATTACTACCTGTTTGTGCTATAGAACCGGTATGAGCATTAGATAATGAGCAAGATTTCAACAATTTAAGAATATGATTTAATCGCTCTTTACTAAGTGAAGATGACTCAACCTCATTTGTGGTAGGTGTGTTATGTTCACCAGCTTTTTTTCCCTTACCACCATTAGGTGGTTTACCATGCAATTTCTAGCATTTTTCGCGAGTATGTCGTGGCTTTCCACAGTAGTCACAATGCAGGTTGTTTTTGTCTTCTACATCCTGGTTGTGAGAAGTTTTCCTGCTTATTTGAGCTTCAGGAATAGCCAAAAGTGATCCTTCCACTGACTCAGTTGAACCTACAGTCTTCTTTCCCAACATCACATGTCTCTGACTCTGCTCTCCTTACCTCTGCAAAAACTTCACTCTGCCTTACCTCTGCAAAAACTTCACCAATTGGAGGCAGGGGATTTCTTCCAATTATTCGGCCACATACCTCATTATATTCAACGTTTATACCTGCAATAAATTTGAAGATTCGACCAGTACCCACTATCTTCTTGTACTAGTTGGCGTCATCGTTTGATTTCCACTCATGATCGTTGAATAAGTCTAGGTCCCACCAAATCCGCTTAAGAGAATTGAAATACTTTGTCACAAAATCCTCACCTTAGCAAATTTCTCGAAGTCGTAGGTTCAACTCATAAACTTGGGATTGATTTCCAATATCAGAGTACATTTATGAAACATTGTCCCATAATTCCATGGTTGTAGAGTAACACATATGCACTTATCTCTTTAGTCATGGAATTGACCAACTAAGTCATTACCATTAAGTTTTCTACATCCCAAATGATATATGTTATGTCATTCATGTCAGACTGTTTAGTATCACCTATGATATAGCCAATCCTTTCTCTTCCTCGGAGATACATGCAAAAAGATTGTGACAATCGAAGAAAATTATCACTATTTAGTGGACTGCAGTGATATGAACGAGATGGTTTTCAGATGAATTTCTCTAAGGTTCTGACTGAGATGGCTTAAGAGGCTGGCTTGTCCTAGACGTGACTTCAAACATTTTAGAGATGAAGGACGATGAGTTTGCTCGAGCCGGAGATTCGCCTACCGAAGCAAAAGATTGCCGCCTTCACCCGCCGAAGCAAAAAATATTATCGCCTTCGTCGCCGAAAGGACTTCGAGATGCGGAATCGAATCGCTTCGTCAACCACTCATCCACCTTATAACCAAAGGATTTCTCCTTTAAAGTATATTCTGTTAGGAAGAGTCTTTTGTACTTATAATTCTTCTAACTTTATATATAATTATAACATGAGATACCATTCTGAAGACTTAATCACGTAAACAAAAGAAGATCGAGTTATAAAATATTTCTCTGAATTTCACCTTTTTTATCAGATATTGTTTATGATAATTTTGATTCAAATAACAAAGCTTTTTCTACCCCTTCGTGAATCCATATCACTTAAATTTTTATTTTTCAAACTTAAAATCATTCTTGCCATCATACATTTCTATATTAAACTCTAAAACTAACTTCTTTATAAATTTTTTAAAGATACAAAATGCTCTAATACTAAACTATTAGGCAACCGGCAATAAATGTAATACATAGATATCGAAGCAGTGAGATCTTTCATTATCATGAATTGAAAACATGATTATACACTCAACCTTCTAAATATACTCGAGAATGTAAATAAGAAATGTCAATAATCACAAAACTTGATTGTATGCTTTGAAAACTTTTAGCATTGATGCAAAACTGAAAAAAACAATAATATTTAAGTTTCATATTTCTCTTATATGCAGGCTGAAAAATACTCTGAAACTAATATAAGCAGATATTACAGCATACACACTATGAACCAGATACTTCACACATAAGCAGCACACGCCATATCAATTTTTAATTTCTATACATATATTCTTCATTTCTTTCAGCACAACTGCACAAAAGGTTAAGGACAAAAAAGTACTAAATAAAAGGAAGAAACAAGCAAACCATTCAAATGATTCAGAATAAGTATGTTGGGACTTGGAAATGATCAATGTCAAAAGAAAACTCTATGCAGAAAACCCAAAGCCTCTCATAATTTCTTTCAACCAAGAAGCCGCAATCAAGTCCACCTCCCTCCTCTTTATACATATAGAAAAAGAAAATATACATGGATATTTACAAATAAAATCCTTTCAAATCACTTATTTGCCCCAATTGATATAAATAACATATATATAACATTATAATATAAATGACATATACCAATTAGTTAGAATGTTTGTTATTAGTTTATCATGTTGTTTTTCTTATTTTCCTCTCTTTTCTTCGAATGCCTCATTTATTTATTTAAAGTTTGAATATATATTTAGAATATTTTGAAAAGTAATAGAATTTCTTAGTTTCATAATTTATTGGCATTAGTTGGAAATTGAATTAATTTAAGCTACTGGCACGCATAGATTCATGCTTAACTAGGGAAATATTTTTGTGACATAAATATTTTACTCTGCTATTGTAAACTTTTTAAGCACAACAATTCCATAAATCATTTTTGGATTTGGTTTATTTTTTTTTTCACAATTTTACATATAATAAAGCTTTTCTTTTTTCAGTCATCTAAATAGAATCATATTGGAAAAAAAATTAATAAGTTATGATAAATATATCAGACACTCAAATAAAAAAAATAAACTTGATGAATGATGATTATACAACAATGTATTGTTTTAAAGATTTGATAATCTTTATAGCCATATTTTGATATTCATAGGTTCAATGAATGATATAATTACTTTCATGGTTTAAATTAAAGAACCACAATTGTTCTACTATGTTATTTTGATAGCTCATTATTATCACTTAATTAAATAATTAATGCTTAAATGAGCAAACAAAAACAATGTATGGTTGATGAGGCACACAAGAGCAAGGTATTTTATTTTACATTTGATTTAGATTTTTTTTTTTATGTTTTATTGTGTTGTCATTGTTTTCAAATATAGATAGATAAATAAAAAACATAGATTTAAATTCTCTAGTTATTCATAAATAATAGTTGTAATCTAATTACCTCCCAATTATCTATTCTGGTCTTGATAATCGTAAGATTTTGGCCACATTATAAAAGTTCATGCTCTGATGACTGATCCTTAATGACATTTATTTAGTTGTTTATGAAACCCCTTAAGTAGAAAAAAATTTAAACTCTTAAACATCTAGACACTTTTTGGTGTAATAATAAAATTTTAGCAAAAGCTCCAAACTCAAGTGTATTTACAATTAAGCACACTTAGGATGGTGACATCCTAAGAAGCTACAACAATGGGACAAAATCATGAGGCATTTAGGCTAAGGAGGATAGTATGTCGATGGGTGGGAGATGAAGCTGAAATTCTAAACTTTAAGGAGTCTTTTGGTATAATGCTGGAATTTCATAAAAAACTCCAAAGTTAAGTGTGTGTGCATGGGACGAATCCTTGGATTGGTGACCCCTCGGGAAGTTACACCAATGGGACAAAACTGTGAGGCCTCTAGATCAAAGCGAACAATATCTCGATGGGTGAGAATTCGGCTTGTTAGAAATGGTACATTGTATTACACCAATGTGAATATGAGAACTGGTTGTCATACAAAACAAAGTACTGCATCATAAGAGCCACTTCTTGAATTATATGGGCCACCTCTATAATCATATATGCTTGGTGGATCTGAGGTAAGAAAATTGATGAGGACGTCGGCTACTTAAGTGTGGGAGATTGTGAATCCCCTTAAGTAGAATGAAGCTTTAAGTAAAATGGTGATATTTCATCAAAAACTTCAATGTTAAGTGTGCTTGCATGGGAACACTCCTATGATGGGCGAGCTCCTTTGAAGTTACACTAATGAGACAAAACTGTTAGGCCTTTAGGAGAAGGTGAACAATATCTCGATGGGCGAGAGTTCCAACTGCTACATTGTTACTCCTTTTTTTTTTCTTTATTATTTTGGATTGGTCCTGACATTCATCTCCTCCATCCAATATGAACCATTCAGACATTAAGAAAGCTGTAATGGCCTTTGCCACCCTACCAACTAGTTATGGGAACACCAAACTAACCATTTAGGAAAGATCTTACCGCAAGCAAGTCTTTGTGGGTGTTTGATCATCCTAAAATGCATCCAAATTTATATAATTTGTCCAATTAGATAAGTACTTCCTGGAATTCATATGGCCTTCATACACCTCCATTTAATTAGTCATTCATATCACAAAATTGCTCTCAATGAGATAAAAAAATAATTATAAAAATTGCATTTTGTCTATACAAATGTTTTCTAGACCAACCATCTTAATTCGATTTCTTATTTATTACATACTTTACTATATATATATCGTTTATGCTTAAACATATGTATTTATTTTTAAAAGTTAAAATATTGATATTCTTATGTGATATGCACGATTACGGCGATATGGATATAATTGTAAAAAAAAAAAAAAGGTGTTATATATGTAAATACAGAGAAAATGAATGGTAAGTATGTAAATGCCCCTTATTTATTTTAGTGAATTTGGATCTTTATTTATTTATGTGAACTAATTAAATTGGCATTTTACATATGAAATTCATTAAATTAAAAATAAATTATGTTTCGATTAGATATAGATATGAGGGGCTAATGAGTAATTATTTACTTCCCATTTGTTTTTCTATTAAATCTTCTTTTTAATAACAGTAATGATAAATGAAGCCCTGTTCTTCGGGCTTTTCCAATCGCGCAGGCGACCAAAACATCTTTACTTCCACGAGCTGCCTCTCTGATTCTTTTTCTCACTCTCTCCTCCCTCTTACCCGTACGTCGCCATGGATGAAGAATACGATGTGATAGTGCTCGGAACCGGACTGAAAGAGTGCATCCTTAGTGGCCTGCTCTCCGTTGATGGCCTCAAGGTTTTCCTGTTCTATTCGCTGCTGATCTCTCGTTTGATCTATATTTCTTTTATTGAATCGGAAATCTGCGGTGCGATCATTTTTAATCGGGAGAAATGAATGGTTTTTTTGCTGAATTTGTCGATCTAAAGTTCTTGCTGTCTATTTTTACCGTCTTATTGTCGGTGCGATCGTTTTTAATTGGAAGTGAGGGCTGGTTTACGCTGAATTGGACGAGCTTAACTGCTTCCGATGTATTTCTTTTGGTTTATGATTGGTGTTTTAAATAGTAAAAATTTGTAGTTGAATCGGCTCTGTAATGTTGGAAGTTCGGCATGATTATGCATTTATTGATACGGATCTGATGTAGGTTATGGTTTTCGATCAGTGTTATTGCTGTCTGTTTTGAATATTAAAGGTGGCCGTTGCGCTGCACAGTGATTATGCCTTAAATTCTTTATGAGGGGTTGACATGGAATTGTTGTTGGCATTTTCCGTTGAATTATGCTTTGCAAGAGTTTTGTACTACTGCTCTCAACGCAAGGCTTATTATCCTCTCTCTCTCTCTCTCTCTCTCTCTCTCTCTCTCTCTCTCTCTCTCTCTCTCTCTCTCTCTCTCTCTCTCTCTCTCTCTCTCTCTCTCTCTCTCTCTCTCTCTCTCTCTCTCTCTCTCACACACACACACACACACACATTACTTTTTGTTGTGACTTTTAGTTTGGCTTGTAGACTCCTTTGTTGTTGATAGTTACGACTTCCAACACGTACGAATCAGTCAAATTTAACAGTACATGCTTGTGATTCTGTTAAATTGATCAAAAGAAAAGGTTTTTTTTTTCTTTTATTATTTTTTTTGTGGCTTCACTTTCAGTTAGAGCTTTTTCTTGTGTGCGCCAGCTTTCATACTTCGTTTGGGGGTTCAGTCTCTCAATTTTTTGTTCCTTAACCTTCATTTTCTTTATTCTTTTCTTTTTATCGAAGTGATTGGTGCTACTAGTGTTAGACTTTTGCTTTTTGCATCAGGACAGAGTGTTTCGTTGCATTATTGTGTACCTGCTGAAGATATTTTATTCATCTATATTTCATAATTACAATAGGTTCTGCACATGGATCGGAATGATTACTATGGTGGGGAGTCATCTTCACTTAATCTCATTCAAGTAAGCAGCATTTTCGACTTGGGAGATTTACATACATATCATTGATTGCTTATGTATTTTCATATCTAATATCATCTAAGTGACATTAAAATAAATTGATGGGAATGTGTATTTTACATTTTCATTTTAGATAAGTTAATATTAATGATATATTTGACATTATTTGAAGATTAGGGTCTTAACTTTGCAAATGTAAAAATTATGTGCCAGATATGCAAACGCATAACAATTCAGTAATATGCTTGTAAATTCCTTTTCTACTATTGTTTATGTTGCAGAGGCATGAGATCCTACAGTCTTACTACATGATTGGATCTTATTATCTACCGAAATTATTGGCAATGCACAACTAGCTGCTGCTTAGTTAGAACACCTGACATTCTTAGTACAAAGAGTGCCATGCCTCTGCTAGTACTTGCCTACATGCCTAAGTGTTTGAAACTAATGTTTGTCATATAAAGCAAATTCTCTTTTTTTTTGTGCTGTCACATTTACATTTTTCATGCTTATGATAATTAGGTTTTTTCCACCCAATGGTGTAAATTTACCTTTTTTTGTTACTTTTTGTTGCAGTTGTGGAAAAGGTTTAGAGGAAGTGACAAACCGCCAACAAGCCTAGGTCCTAGTAGAGATTACAATGTTGACATGATCCCAAAGGTGCCCTTCTTTCTTTGTATTCTTACTGCTATATTGGCAAAGATTTTTTAAGGTCATAGAAAGACATGAAGCTTTTGCTAATTTTGATTTCATTAGATACCTAATTTTAATCTTATTATATTTTAGCTAAAGTGCGGTAAACCAACTGCCACATCCTATTGAACTGTAACTCATGTGACATTGCCATTGCTTTTCAAATAGAAGAAAAAGTCTTAAATCTCCTAATAACTATTTCATAACCAGTATAGTTTTTTTCATGATTATGGGACTTGATAAATCTTTTTTGCCTAACTCTACCTCTATTATATTTTTCTTGGAAAAAATGTTTTTTTAGTGAAAATTTATTGATTCATCCAAAAGGCAGGATAAGTTAAAACTACTGTGTTTGCATTTAGGTGATAATCTCGTGAGGATCCACTTTGGCGTCAATGCCATGTTATTCTAATACTACTTACCTATGGTATTCATCAGAAACATTGTTTTATGACTTTAACATTTTTATCAGCCCTTTGAGTTTGGTTGATACGGCTAACTTTGAAAAAACAGAAATAAAAAAAAAGAAAAAAGAACCACCTGTAAGATCTTCAGGAGAACAAAAGTTTGACCCATCTTGTACTGCTTTTCTGCTTTTAGGGATTTAAAATTGTTCTCCATTTTTAACTTTAAAAACAATCAGGAATGTTACATCCCTTTTAAAAACAATCAGGCATGTTACAGTTGTTCTCCATTTTTAGAAGCTTTAGTAGAACAGAATTCAGTCCAGCCCAAATGTTTATCAAAAAATGAGCCAACAACAACAACAACAACAACAACAAAGCCTTAATCCCACTACGTGGGGTCGGCTACATGAATCCTTTTTCTCCATTGCGTCCTATTTAGTGTCATATTTTCATTTAGTTCTAGTAAATTAAGATCATTTTTAATACAATAAGCCCAAGTCTTCCTAGGTCTACCTCTGCCTTTCTTAACACAAGTCGAATTTAAAACATCTACTCTCCTAATCGGATCATCTAATGGTCGACGTTTAATATGACCAAACCATCTAAGACGACTTTCTCTAATTTTGTCTGTCACAGGAGCTACACCAACCCTATCACGAATATATTCATTCCGCATTTTGTCTCTAAGTATAAAGCCACTCATCCACCTAATCATTCTCATCTCGGCAACACTTAACTTATTATTATGCTTCTCTTTTAAAGGCCAACATTCAGCACCATAGAGCATTGCAGGTCTCATCACCGTCTTATAAAATTTTCCTTTCAGTCTTAGCGGTACTTTTCTATCACACAAAAGGCCCAAAGCATTCCTCCACTTCAACCAACCAACTTGAATTCTACTATTAACATCCCCATCTATATCACCATCACTTTGGACAACGGACCCAAGATATCTAAATCGTTCACACCTGTTAATAATTTGATCACCCAAAGTCACACTTCTGTCACTAGAGTTATTACTACTAAAATTACATTCTATCGCTTTGGACAACGGACCCAAGATATCAAAAAATGAGCCAGATTTACAATTTTTGCATTTGACAGAGTTAAGGATTCTGATTATGGATAAATGTTGGCAATCTTTCTTGAGCTAGAACCTTGTTGACATGAAGAAACAAGGAAATGTGTTGAGTTGACTCAACAGTTTCCATTATATGATAACTTGGGCCAATTTAAGTTTGAGGGCTGGTTTACCGGCATCCTTCATTTTAACTATGGAATAACATAAGAAGAACTACTTGGCAAATTTACTATTTGGTGATTTATGGTGCTTTGGATGCCTTCAATTACTCAAATTAAGCACATTTTAGCTGATCGATTTATGTTGCTAACATTGACAACTGAAATTTTGGGACTCAAGGGCTTTGATAGTCAATATTAGTAGTCTTCCTTGAAGTCTAATGAGGGATGGTGGTGTCGCTATCACTGACATTTTAGATCTATTGTCTTCATCAAATTGCAATTTTTGTTATTTCCAAGTGGAAAATGATCAGCAATTGTGGATCTTTACTTTCATCTACTATTTATTGATTATGAAATGGATTTTTTGCGGTTAACCAAGCTTCCATATGTGGCTTAATTATACTCTGTTTTTAAGACATTTTATTATTCCAGCACTAATATTTAATGAATGTTGGAAAGTGGCGTTGGTTATTGTGGAGGAAAAATCACTCTGTTTCATTCAATCAGCCTAAACCATCTCTATTTAAAAGCTTCATATAAACTATTTGGCATCATTTAACTTTATGCTTAGGTTGATCTTTTTTTTTTGTTCTGTTCATTCCAAGAAGATGCATTCTTAAAACCAGCTGAACTTAAAACCTGTAAATATTTTAAATTATGTTACAAGGTACTTTTAGCTACATTTTTTTCTTTAACCAACAATGAAAAGGAAATTGACAATGGAATTTTACATTAGGATACTCCCTTGTATTTATATATATGCAACATGCATGCTGATTCATGTGCATTTACTTTGTAAAAATGTCTTTTTTGTGCATTTACATATCCCTGTGAAATCATTATTTGGAATTGAAGAATGTATTCTAGCCAATTGTTTTATTTGATAAGGTTGCATTTCTGGGAAATTTTTATTGTAGTTTATTTGACTACCGTAGCAATTCATGCGTTTGCAATTCATGTAAGGTCGAGAGAGAAGCACGTGCAAGCATGTATTCAAGTTCATGAGATAGCCAAATGTTATTGCTTTGTAAACTGCTTATTTAGACCAGCAGTTTAATTATAGCAAAATTGGTGGCTTAGGATATTGTCAAATTGATACTTGCAACTAATTTAAAAATTCTAATGAATTCTTCCTTCCTCTAATTTTATGAAATTGTCGTCACTCAAAAGCAACAACAAGAACAAGCCTTTATCCCACTAAGTGGGGTTGGCCACATGAATCCTTTTTCTCCATTGCATCCTATTGAGCTGCATCCTATTGAGCGTCATATTTTCATTTACTTCTAATAGATTAAGATCATTTTTTTATACAATATACCCAAGTCTTTTAGGTTTAGCTTGCCTTTCTTAACCTCAATCGCATCTAAAACATCTACTCTCCTAATCAGATCATCAGATCATCGACATTTAATGTGACCAAACCATCTAAGACTATAATACGCCTTGGCATCAAAATCAGCGAACAAACCATGATGAAATCACAATAGATAGGTGGAAAAAAACAGATAAGGGCTGCTCTTACAACATAAGGGCTGCTCTTACAGGGCTGCTCTTACAACAATCAAAGGAAAAACAAGCAAGATACAAAAGATGATCTACTTTCGAGAGATAGATCAGCTCTCCCACAATCTAGACGTCGCTAGGAACAACACCCAAAAGAAGAAAATACAACAATCACAAAATAACATATAAACGAAAACAAATCCTAGATTTTTCCCTCTTAAAGAATCCTCCCACGACCCTTTGAAAACTTTCATTTTCTACTTTTCCTCCAAACCCCTTTTAATTTATCCTCCTTGAGTATGTAATTAAGTCTCTCATGGACCTGACCTTTCTTTGCCTTCTTCTCCTACGACAGAGCGCCGCCCCGCCTCTTGGTTCGCGCAGGATAGACCCGCCTTTTGGTTTGGCGGGCTGGTGGGGAAGCATTTTACCGGTCCCTCCTGGACTGTTCCCATGAGCGGCGTAACAAACAACTCTCTTTAATCTTGTCTGCCACTGGAGCTGCTCCAACCCTATCATAGATATATTCATTTCACATTTTGTCTCTAATTGTCAAGCCACTCATCCACCCAAGCATTCTCATCTCAACAACACTTAACTTTGTTTTATGCTTCTCTCTTAAAGGCCAACATTCTGTGTCATAGAGCATTGCAGGTCTCACCACCATCTTATAAATTTTTCCTTTCAGTTTAACCAGTACTTTTCTATCACACAATCGTTTCGATGCATTCCTCCACTTCAACCAACCAACTTGAATTCTATTAATAACATCCCCATCTATATCACCATCTTTTTGAACAATAGACCCGAGTTATCTAAAACGTTCGTACCTTTAATGATAGGATCGCTCATAGTTACAACTCTGCCCCTTTTTCTTAAATTAACAATATTGGATAAGACACTTTTTCTTAGAAGGACACAACAATGATTATTTCACTAAAAAGAATTTTATAGGAAAAAATCTTCTAAAGGGTGATGTTTTTATTTTCAACTTTTTTGTTTAGAAAAGAAAACTATCACTTTTAATAGATTTTGAAGGTTTTCTTATAATTTTATCGATATTTATTTTTAGATACATCCAACCAAATGATGAAATCCAATTTATTCACCATTTTTCAAAACATGCTTTCTAATTTCAATCATCCAAATGAGCAATTGTGGTGTTTATTTCTGAAATTAACACGAAGGGTATGTTTGGGGCGGATGCAGCTTATCCAACTTATTCAGATAAGCAGCTTATCCTGCTGATTAGCAGTTTATCTGGATAAGCTGGCTGATTGTTTGGGACAGTTGTTTGAAAACAACTGGTTTGCAGTTGTTTGTGGATAAATGACAATTTTGCCCCTGTTAAGTAATGTTATTGTAACATAATTATCTTGACAATATATTCGATACTGTAGAAGCAAAAAACTAATGCAAAATAGTAAAGAAAAAAGATGAAGTTGTCCTCAATATATAAAGCAAAGCTACGCGCAACTAACACAATAGGTTAGAGCAAGAAATGTGCATGGTAGAAGAGGATGATAGCTAGAATTGGTCGGGTATATATAAAGCAAAGATACGCTCTACTGACAATTTATACAAGTGGAATCACAAGAGACCCAATTGAATAAAATGAAATCCCTTGCCTTGATCAACATTTTACTTTTGTTATTTTGCATATGTTATTGTAATACCTAGCCAATGTATGTGTGCTTCAACCTCAAGCTTTGTTGATCATTAAGCCAATAAAGAACTTCAAAATGAAGTTACTTTTTTTTTTGAGAAAATGAAATTGAGGTTGTCGCAATAAATACCTTGCTGATCTTAGGAACCAACAGATCGAATCATAGAGAGTCGATCATTAAGCCTTTTGCGTCTTCGCCTCTCCGCCATTAGATCGAAGCATGCCCTCATGCCCTCTACCTTCTTCTTCCTCCGCTCTGACTCAACTGTCGGAGCATCAATCACCGCTGCAGAAGCGGGCAACTCCACTTTGCAAGACATTTCAGGAGGAATCTCCGGCGGAATATCCAGAGAAAAGGCGGAATAGTAAGCACACATCCCACCGCCGACGAGCATTTGACAATAAGCATCGAACAGTGGGTAGATGGAAGAAGCATCAGAGAAGCATTCGAAGGGTGGGATTTGAATGGAGACGGCTTCACTGCCAACACTTCGTTCAGGCAGCCGACTCCACCACTCCGCCGCTTTCCGTTTTTGGATCCACCGCCACGCTCCATGTTCGTGCCAGACATCACCGCAACTTGATCGAAAAATCTGAAGGGCGGATTAGCTTGAGAGGCGGTATGCTGAGAAGAAAGGCACGGAAGGTAATTCCTGATCAGACTCAACTCTTTGAAGCGGGACGCGGGGTCGATCCCGCGGTCTGCTTCCTAAACCCCATTTTCAAACCGTCGAAGGCACGCGCGAACCAAGCAGATGGGCGTTTTTAAAACGCCAAACACAACAATAAGCTGCCCCAAACGCACCCGAAGTGTCTTAAATTTTTTATAAGCATTCAGAGTAGTATGAATCTGTATAAAGGCACTTGAGATTGCTTTTCCAAATGAATGGCCAGATTTATGTTGATTTTATTTTGAGAAATTCAGGTTCTTTTAAGTTCTTATTTTATTATACAGAAGTAAGGTTGATAAGATAATGTTTTCTATTGTGAAGTGTCTGCTGGTTTTAGCATCCTATTTCAGTTTCAACATATTTGAGCCCATTTGTCTAGTATAATGAGTGAAAAGCATGTTGTGAAATGTTAACATTTCCAACATTTCTTGGGTATATGTTTTTTATAAAAGTTGATCCATGCAAACTTTCTTCTTGGTTTCATATGGCTTTTTTTTTAATTAAATACTAGCTATATACTTCTGTGGTTTTCCCTTTAACTATAAGCCAAACGAGGCGTGTCACTGTTCAGTTGTCGTTTTGGAGCATCTTGACTCATTCATTATTCTATTAGGGCAGTTACATAGATAGCACCCTATTACAATATATATATTTACATATCTGAACTTTACTTTTTTACTTTTATGCCATCCAAGTCTTTCATATCACATCAAAAATACATTTTTTAAACTTTTAAAAAGTGGAATACACCTCTTCATACATTGGTAAGGTGGCGTGTATGTAAAAATTAAAGTCTGTCGGTTAGATATGTAAATATATAGGAATTGAGTGGTATGCATGTAAATGTTCCTATTCTATTTGTCATAGAAAGAATAGTAAGTTTCTCTTTGGATTTTTTGAACATGATTGCTGCTCAAGCCATCTGTTTTGGGTGAATCCGATCAACAGAAGTACGGCATATACGGTGGGTTACTCGGAAACTCGAAGCATATTTGATTACATTTTTTTAATTCTTTTATTGTACTGCTTTTTTGTTCGACTCTAAACCCCTTACATCTGTATAACACTGCTTACTATCAGCATACTTGCATTTTTTCTACTCTGCTGCTTTATAAACTATATGAACCAATTGTACACCTTTATCTTAGAAGAAATTGTGAAATTATTTTATGTTCTTATGTTTAGTTCATGATGGCAAATGGCACTTTAGTTCGTGTACTCATACACACAGATGTTACGAAGTATTTGTCTTTTAAAGCAGTAGATGGGAGCTATGTCTATAACAAAGGAAAGGTAACCCCTTTTTAACTAGTTGCATATTGGTTTATGTTTACCATACATGCTTTCTCATCATATTTTTCCTGCTTTGACACTTCTTTTCTTCGTTTGTGTAGGTTCACAAGGTTCCTGCAACTGACATGGAGGCACTGAAGTCTCCGCTAATGGGTTTGTTTGAAAAACGCAGAGCAAGAAAATTTTTCATGTATGTGCAGGAATATGAAGAAAATAATCCAAAAACACACGAAGGATTAGACCTAACAAGAGTTACGGCGAGAGAACTGATTGCGTATGCCTCTGATCTTTTTCTAGTAATTATTTATTGGACATTGGAAAGTTATATCGACAATTTCCATGTTAATTCATGCTACACTTCCTTCGTATCATTTTCTATGTTTGCATTCCTGTTATGGCTATTATTGAGATTATTTGTATTTGTAATATATTTTATGTAAGCCATTCATGTTGAATTTCTTATTGATTATCATTTATACTAGGTCAAACATATTTTAAATTCTAAAATTTTGCACACAGACTCGTAGTGGCTGTCTTTTATAGATCGTTTGCTGTATTTGTGCCAAGCCTATGATCTCTTAGAAATCATTGACACTTTCTTTAAATATTCCTTTCAAAGAATTTTATAATAACTTTCAATATTTGATTTAAAAGGAAATTTTCATCTTTTCGTAAAATGAGTTGACATGCCTTTTCATGGTATTTAATTAATTTTGTTCTTTATTCATGTTCCATATAATCCTAAGGGAAGCTTAACATATATCTAACAATTAAGTGGATAAGTGTCCGGTTCTTGAATTTTAGAATAATATTTTAAATTTAATGATATAAAGGGCTATCAAAGTACAATTGAGTGTTGAATATGTATATTTATTGCTTATAAGTAAGGAATTTTAGTTCTTATAATTGATAGAACAAATCAATCATGATACTGAGATTAAGATATTTGAAAGAGTATGATAGGTTTCTTAATAGCCGATTACTTGAGGTTAAATAATGATACTTAAACTTTCAACATAAATCTACTCATGTACAATTAATTATAGATTAACTATTGGGTTTTAACAATGGGTTAATCTCATATTCAAGGGCACAATTTATTCGCTGCTTATAGGAATTTCTAAAATGTACTATATGTGTTTTGGAATGGCTTATAAAAGCTCAAGAGCATATGTCCAACCCTACTTATAGAATGTAATTGTTTATTTTCTTTAATTTTAAAGAGAAGACATGCCTCTTTGTTCAATCTCATGGCTTAATGGACACAATTGTCTTTTTTTAATTTGTTAAAGTGATATACCCATTGCTAAATATTGTGACCCATCGTTCCACATGTTGCTTTCTCTCTCACTCAGTAATTTTAGAGAAAGATGGTTTACTAGGTTTATGTCCTGTTGAAGTGAAATAAAATTTTTTTCTTCACTAGTTGTATTAGGTAGATACCAACACAATATATTATAAATTAAAGCAAATTAAACAATCAAAAATCAACTTTGAGGGAACCGTATGTGATCTGGTGGAGATGAACGACAAACTTAAGGTAATCATGCCCAAAGTAAAGGAGGATGAAGGGAAGATTTTCTTCCATGTCAACATAAAGTAGGATTTCGGATAGTTGTTAATTTCATTAGACAAGTGTGTGACATTGTTGACCTCATTTTTAGTGAGGTCTTAGTCTTCTACTCTTAGAACCTAGGATCTAGCTTTAGGAGTTCTTATTGACCATTCTAGTGGACTAGCAATGGAGCCCACCTCCCGTAGAACTTCAAGCTACTTCTTGACTCAAAAACTCAAAGCCACTTCTTGACTCATTTTTGTGAAGAACTCGCATGAGTGGTTCCAAGCACTCAACCTTTAGTTGCAAGGGCTAAGGACCAACATGTAGAGAGCCCGAAAATGAGTTCCTATAGGATCAAACAACCTTAGGTGAACCCTTTGTGACTCGATTACTCGTGAACGCCGCAATTCATGCACTTACTGCACCACACACGACTTTGACTTGAATCGACTTGCCCATCGACGAACTCTTCCGGACGATCCCGGATGATGAAACGGACCACGCCGACGCGTCCGGAACGTCAACTTTAGCTAAAAAGGACACCCGCATTGTTATGGTTTATCGCGCGAGCGACTAACACGGATATCGATGCATTTTTTTTAGCGGTGCGCGAGCCCGGGCTCAACCCAGGTCCGACTTGGGTTCGATTCAGGCTGGACTCGGGCTGAACACGGGCTAGGCACTAGCTCACCTGAATTTGAAATTCAAATTTCAAAATTTAAATAAATTATTTAAATGCTGCGTTAATTAAAATTATTTCCATTTAATCCTCTTTGCATTTGGAAATAATTTATTTCCCCCCCAATTGCTCTCGAGTAACGGCTCCCCCGCTCCAATTCTAAAGGAAGGATCGCCTTCTTCCTTCGGATCTTCCTCATTTGCCTCTCCCGAGCTCCTACTCATTTACCTTCGCTCGACAGCCTTCTCCTACTCGATCCCGCTCTCCCTTTGCGCTCGACAGCTCCTCTCTCTCGCTCGCCCTCCTCGCGCCTGCTCCTTCGCCCGCCTCCCTCGATCCCGATCGAAACAAATCTGCTCGATCCCGAATTCGACCCTCCCCCGCTCCCTCTGCTCGATCCCGTCTCCCGCACCGAAGGAGCCGCAGACCCCACTTGACGCCCTCGCCTGCTCGCCTCTTCCCCGCGTCGAAGAAGCTCGATCCCGATCTCCCGCACCGAAGAAGCTCTGCTCCTCCCCTGCAGACCCCGCTTGCTTCTCCTCCGATCGAACAACTGTTCAAAAAAAAAAAAAAAAAAAAAAAACCCTGCCCCCCCC